TTACAGCTGATCAAAAGGCATTTCGCTGGACGTGATCCACTGCGGCCCTTTGCTGGGTACGAATTGTAGTCCTATCCAGATTTTCTGGACGGTTGGGAAGTCGGCCGCCACAGTTTTCTGAATCAAGCCAAAGGAACAAAGCGACTCTCTGGTTGCAGAGGCGCCGTTGACGTCTACTTACCCATTCTTCGACGTCGTGCGGTACGAACAGCTGAGCCTCAAACTCTTTGCAGCTCTCTTCCGCGCGTTGGAAGGACAGGGGGCGGAAGAAGAACTTGTAGCACACGCCGGCATAGCCGAACCATCCGTCGTCGCACTTCGACCCTTCGCAAGCAGTTTCGTCAAACAACGCCCTGAAGGTCGCAGTGGCACTAGCGCCTACCTGATACTCGGACGCAGAGGACCGATGACAGTATGAATACGAGAACCGCCACGCTGTTAGTGCTCATGTTGAACTCGGTGTACTTTGCGCAACCCGCCGCGATATCGGTGCTCGCCAAATAAACAATGATTGATTTTCTACTACTGCGTGAGGACGAACTGAGCGGGGGAGTTGGACATCGTTCATCCTATTGGCGGCCATGCTGAGGCATTTCCTTTGTTCGAATGACCGAATAACACGACACTACTGCGTTAAGTAAGTTGTTCCGATAGGGCCGCGATATCAACTCTACCTCAGGGGTTACCTGAAGGCTACGCGGCCCACCTCACAGGGAGGCAATTCTGAGTTGCCTGACTTCCGGCGGCAACGTAACCAGAACAGACACAGAAACGCGACTTAGAAGCCATTCAATCCATTAGAATGGTTTTAGTTTTATACTTCTCACAAGGATTTTCTATTTTGGGCCCATCACCGTCAGTCAGTTATTCAATTTCGATGACCGCTTAACCTCTAATTTCGCCTTAATACAGGCGTCAGACACATCCCGTTCGTGACAGCATTTGATCTTCTTCAGAAGGAAATTCGAATCTGATGCAGAGTCCGTTGAGACACTTGCACCGGGCTATTCTTTGTTGCCTTCCGCATCTCGCGGGACTTTCGATAGGTTGGCTTAGCATGTGGTAATTGTTTTGCCTTCCAACGACTTTTTGAAAGTATTTGCAAGACGGGTTCAAACCATCGCAGCTGTGACTTCTCAATTTGGAGAAGCAGCGGCTGTGGCACCAAGGATCTATATTGTTTCTGAACTGCGCACCACGTCCAGACGCGTGACCCCAACGGTTTGTCTCAGAAAGCCCATTTCAGCCGCTTGTGCTTCAGACTGAAGCTTTTCGGACAAGGCCCACGACTCATAACCATAGGTTGGTGACTGGATGAGGATCAACTTGAAAATCGATAGCTTAGTCTTCAAAATCAGCTTTGTTTTAGTCACAATGGTTCGGACTAGTTCAGGCAAGACGTCACTGGCTATTTCAATCCACCAGTCAATCCCTCTCTCCAATTTTCCATCACCGAAAAATATGACCACGAGGTACATGTTTTTTTTCACCTGCCCGCAGCCTCTCCGTTTACTTGTTGATCACACCGGACAACGACACGAGAAAGTAGTAGGCCTTACGTTTCAGGCACGTTCACCCGCATTCGACTGCGAAAATATAGAGACTGGGTGGCCGTAAAAACTTATAATGAATCCTAACGTTGGATGCATGGTATAGCATGTTGCGTGTGATCCAGTCGTAGGTTTTGTTCAGGTCAAAGCACATGTAAACCGGATGAGCTAACTGAGGATTTTTCAACAATCTCGCAGAAGATGAAAATCTGGTCAGAGGTACTTCAGTCTGATAGAAAGCCACACTGCCCTTCTTGAATGCTGGGGTCAGCAATTCCGCGGATTTTTCTTCCCAACACCTAGGCGCAGACTTTTCCCGGGCCCACAGCTGCTAAACATAAAATTTTACCATTAGTGTTCAGCGTTTGAATACTTTAGCCTTGTCTTCTATTCTGGAGCTGTAGGTTTACTTTATTTCTTGAATTTCTTGAAACCTGAAGTAGCAAACTTTACTGCCTTAATGCAATCACAGTCCGGCATGGTAGTGGCAGTCATGAATAGAAATTTACTTGGCATTAGCATTTATTATTTAGCATTGAACATAGTCATGTAATTCCGATCCGTGGTTCAATGCAACAGTTTAAAAAGAACGGTAAAATTTGTTTTACTCACC